AATATCTCCCTGATCATTTAAAGATCCTCTCTTCTGAACTTCTCCCAGGGTATTCACCTTGCTTCACTGTCACAGTTGTTCTCAGCACTCTAACCCTAGGGTTAGGGTTAGGTCTCATCACCGCCTATTTCCCTTTAACCTACTTGAAAGGTCTCACCTACAGCTCATTAGAAATAATTCTGATTTTCATGACGATATAGCAGCTGTCCTCAGAYGCCCCATGATTAAAAACTGACTAAACAGCCACATCTTTCCCTTTACCTCTTGTCAGCATCTGATGGGCCAGTACTTACTGAAGATATATTTACCAGTCTCTCATTCCCTTGCCCTTTGCGGTGTTAATCTTCATCCTATGTCCGTCACTTTAGTCCCTATTAATGAAGCCCTTGTTTTATAGTGGCCCAGCCCTACAGTGCATTAAAGAGATCTTGTCATCGGTGCATTCCATTAATTACTTTCCTTAATCACACATCTTGTTACTATCTGTAAGAATTCCCTTTGCACAGGAATTCTTACCTAGCTTCACTTATGTCAGTTTTACCTTTCCCCTATGCTTACTGTCTGTCAAAGTATTTTCTCCTTCCCTATTCTCTACAGGTGTTTTGTTTACACATAATAAAAAGGGTTTCTCTGCTAATTGTTAATGAAGCTATTTCCCACATTTCTTCCATTTGTTTGGGATGAATATTTCAGATAATATTTTGAATAATCTCTGCAGAGTTGGTTTAAAGAAACTCCARTTGCCTTGCAGTTAACTCACTCAAATATTCAGGCACAACATGTGTTCATAATTCAAAWCAACCAAATACTACCAACATTTTGAAATTAATATTTCAACCAATCTTATTCAACAGAGTTTGGCTTCTCATTGAATACTATTTTTACTTGCACAGCATCAGAAGGAAACTAAGCACATAATAAATGGGCAATGATTCCTTAGACCAAAATTCTTAAAATCCACAGAGAAAAAYTACAGAAAAGGAAAAAACAAARTATGAGGATGGGCAATGAAACAGCACATTATACTTAATGCTGAAGACTTTTTAAAATTTTCTGTAATCATAAGTGTAAACACATGAAAAGGAATAAGCTATTTTCATTTATCAGTCATCCAGTCTGCTTGGTGAATGTCAAGATCATATTGAAAACACAGCAAATAATTCCATAGCATTCTAGTAGATTTTTTTTTAACATCTAATCATTCATCATTGTCCAGCTGTGGACTGGATACCGCATCAATCCTGCTAAGTACCATGAGAGCCTGACCTGCTATTGCAAGACCAGCCGATTTTCATGTTATTTTCTCGGGTCACCACGAGAGGGCCACGTGCCTGCAATCCTGCAGATCCTTGGAAACGCTCTCTTACACAGCCTGCTCTTGTAATTTGTTGTGGTTTCCAAACAATATTGTCCTAATTTGCCTTTCATTCACAAATAACATARTATTCCTGGAATGGGAAATCTAATGACAGCTCTTCTTGTGGCTTCAACTAGAAGGTATGCACTTAATTAGGTACTGAGAAATATGTCCTGGGAAACAAATGAATTTAAAATTTCTGTTTTCCCCCCCTGCAGGGCTTATCCCTTTTGCTCACCCTTGTTGAGGGGTGACCAGTTCCACTCCCTCGCAGGGCACCGGTTGGAGTGCCTGAGCAACACAGGACTGCAAAGTGAGCAGCGCTGGAAAAAGCAGCAATGCAAGCAGAAATGTTTTGCTCATTCCTAGGTGTTATTTGTTGCTTTACCACTGCTGGATACAATCAGCCTTCACCTGACACAGGGAAAAAAAGTACAAGAATCTAGAAGCCACAATTCTGAGGTAAATGACAACACTGACGCCAAAGRAAAACAAGCTCCAGTTGGTTACGCTGGTCTAACCCAGGCCACAGAACRATGCATTAGTCAAACTAACTAGAATAGCCAGTAAAGTTTAGGCAGATCCCTTCCCTCTTCCCCAAATAAGTCACTGTGGCCAAGAAAAAAAAAAAGGCGGGGCATGAGATGCAGTATTACCGGTCTCTACCACAGCAACACACTCAGCCACTGCTCTGTGCTCGGACAGTTCCTCTCACTCTGGTGAGGAACCATCTCTGCAGAAACGGCACCCAGGTCTCTTTCAGGTTGGAAGGCCAACAGGCAGCTCTCCTGAACACAGTGACTGCCTGCAGGTGTGCAGAGCTGCCAGCATTTGGTAGGGAAGCACTGGGGCACTTCCCAGGCTGCCATCCCAGGTGGTGGTGGAGAACCTGGGAAGCAGATGTTCAGACAGCCTGCCACACCATGAGTAAATGGCAGAGGAACATGTGCCGTTTAGGAACACGATCATCTTGCTCAACACACCTGGCATCAGCCAGAGGTTAATGTTATGCCACAGACTTCTCACAGAAAAACTTAAAATCAGAAACTCCGAAAGCGAGCTTGGTGTTCGAGTCCATTGCATCCCCGTGTCTCACCGGGACAACCAAGTGGCTGGTTCCAACTCTGCTAGTGTGACAATCTGGTGTCACTAGATGGCAACCGACTCCTTCTGTACTGGGCAAAGTACCAATGAGTTCTCAGAACAGAGAACTTGCATAAAGTTTTGCCAAAATTAGACCACTGCATAAAACCGGTCACACAGTATCTTCACCGTAAATAGGATCGATTGTAAATCCAAAGTATTCTTGTCAGCATCAGTACCTTACCTCCAGCCAGAAGCATAGCCCTGTTAAATACAAATAACAAATGAATGAAGCCTGAAGCTAATTCAGTTACAAAATTTGGCCTGTACTATATATATTATCTGTGCTACATATATCTGTACAATATATTATCTGTATCTTAAAATCAAACAAGAGGATTTTTAACTTATACCAACTTTGTCTATATATCTGTAAATGCACACCATTAAAACTTCCAGAATGTTTCAAGATTGCTCTTTTTCCAATTATTTTACATTTTGAACACAATTTGCTTTTTCCTGCTAAAAGAGTACGGAGAGAGAAGTGTTTTAAGAATCACTGGAGCACGATGGCATAGTTTTCCTAACAAAATTGGCTTGCTAATAAAGGTGTGGCAGGAGAATTCTCAGGACATTTAAAAACTTTTAGGAGTGGTATAATAGCAGATTGCTTCATTTGGGTGGTGTCATTTGGGTGGTTTCACTCAGTATTACTCAGGCAAATTAAATCACTGTAGTCTGTAAACAAATAAATCCTGAATCTTCAAGAGCAGAAAATCCTTTCCCGGACTTCTATCACTTTAGTCTGATCACACATTTTAAACACATTGAGCTCAGCACCTTTATAAATAGTAATTAGGATATATCCAAATGATTGATAAATATGAGATGTTGGCAATTAATCCCATAACAAAACTGAACTTGCATTTGTTAATAAATGTTATATGCAGCTAGGCAAAAAAAAATTAAAAAAACTTCACTTAGCAAACTCTCTACAACCTGTGGAAGGTATTCACACACCATGGTAAAACTGGCATGGATGTGGGGTATTTCAAGTGGCAARGAAGATTTATTACAATAATCAACTCTGATGAAATTTTTTTTTTTTTAGAAAAAATAGTCTATATTAACTTACAATTATAAAGATTGAACTACATCTTTATTCACATTTTGTCTAGCCACATGGCATGCCATGAATACCTGCCTCAAATCTGCTTGTTCTGTATCCTAAAATTGCTCTTGCTCCACATCTGGAGCACAAGGAACACATTGAAACAGGACTGTGGTCAAAYAGTTATCATCTTTTCTCTCTGTGCAGAAAACGGAGGTACGCTAATRCAGGTGTACTTCAATGGCAGAAGTCAGCTAGAATCTTGCCTGCCCATCACGCAAGATTGTAACTTGGTAAGAAGACCAGTGTATTGAATGTGCATCTCCTTCGCGTGATAGGGTCATCAGTGAACACAGCAGCCCTTTCACCAACTTCTAAAAAGATTTATAAACCCTTTTGAGTATTTTTTTGCATGGATTCCAGAGCTCCCTGTCTTTAACAGCTTCTAAAAGAATGTGTAAAGACACTGACTGCTTATTTTGGGTTTCCAAACCTACATCTAGCCTAATGGACTAAATGCGTCTTACCACCACCAATGAGGTGGTATACTTAATATATATACTTAATCTTTTATAAAGATAAGTATAATATATATTCTTAATCTTTTATAAAAAATGAAACCTACAGCACTGATTCATTCATTTGAACYAACTTAACGGTTTTGAAATTAATTTTGAAAGGGAGATATACTTATTTCACTACATATTCAAAATTTCTGTATATGATCTATTGTAATGACAAATGATAATTTCCATGTTGTCAAATGTTTAGATAAACACAGCCTGACCCAAACATGTGTGGGCCTGTTGAGTACCACCTTTTAAAAGTCTGGCAGGTAACAACCTTTCCTATAAGACTAAACAAAACTGCCTATAAAACTGTCTAGTTTTCCTAGCCTGAAGTTAAACACTGCTACAAATATTAACTTCCCACCACACATCTGCCCTTTTTCACACACTGTTCCCTCTGAGAGACCTTTTATTCTCCCAGGTGACAACTGAAATAAGGATTTCAGAGTCTAACTGTTTCACCTAATAAAAACCCAGCAATGCACTAAATAACAGTCATAAAACACCAGATACAGAGCAGAACAGGCTAGAGGGCCCAAAGGCCATCAGAATGGTCTTCTCATCAGCTACCACTTGTTAGAGGGATATGTGCTGAATTACAGCAGCAGCATAGTGGCTTTGCCCAGCTTTTTCATTTTGTTTTGGAGTGACTGCCCCTCATTCCCTCCTAGCCCTGCAAAAGGTCTATTTTAGCATGCAGCCATATTTCTCATGCTCTTGTGACACAGTGGAAAGGTTTCATTCTTGTGGCATTACTATCACTTACAGCTACCTTGCCTGATCATCCCAGAGTCTCTGCTTGGGTGCGCTCTTCCACAGCTGGCCAGTACAAGCTTGGAATCTGATGACTAAGATCCTTACAGAGGCCATTATTGACTGAGAGTTAATGGGAGATTTCCAGTCCAAGSCTTGCTTGGCTCAGATCCTGAAAAGCAAGAAGGGCACTCTCGGCAAAAGAGTGAATGAAAAAGCATGATTACAGCCCTTGACATAACTACAGACTATGATGCCTATTAACCAGCAACTTTCCTTTTTCATTTGCCTCTGCTCTTTGTAAATATAGCAGAGGATTCAACAGCTCTCACTTCTTTTTCCCTCCCTCCTTCAGGTATTCTCCCCCATCCATGCATCTTCATGCATGTTGTACAGTGCATCCGTGGGGAGAAGGAATTACCAGTGAGCTACTGGCCAGCAGGAAATTGAGTCAGCAGCTGAGAAAGTTCACATGGGGAGCCTGGGGGAGAGGCAGAACATGAAAGGGATTGAGGAGAGGAATGGGAAGTGGAAGGATAGCAGCAGCAGGACATAGGCAGCCCGGCTGCCTGGTTCAGGAGTGCCATTACCTTGCAGAAGAGGCCCCTGAATGTGACATAATTACAGGGAACCGCTGCAGTTTGACTCAGCAGCTCCCAGGAGCCAGGGGCTCCTTGTGGCTGCCTCCTCCCTGCAGCACAGCCCTCATCCTAGCTACCCTTYACACTCTGTCTCCCATCCAAGCCCCATTCTGATCCCAGTAGCTTCAGGATAGCAGCTGAACTACTTCTACTGCTATTAWAAAAGCATGATTAATGGAAGTGACTAAAAGGTTGATCACACCACCAACCTTTGGACTGAGGGTAGTTAAAGGAGAATAAGAAAGCTTTGCACTAAGCTCCTTCTATAAATACACTAACTTAGAATAAACTTATCAGTATAAATTTAACTCTTCTATTACACACACTAACCACCAAGGTATCAGTACCATTGCAYWGAAAAGTGGTACTTTCAAGAAGTTTTTTCATGTTTTTGTTGTTTTCTAAAGGATGGCAGGTTTTATTAACAAGTTAACTGTGATCATAAAATATATCTGGATTTTCTTAGGGCATTTGATTAGCTACCAAATCAYACSAAATTAGCAGAGAAAGAACTGGACTTACAAACTTCTACAGATAGCTATTAATGCAGTATCAGTGACCATAGCTATATCTAGCAGTGCCCTAAAGGTCTCAACTCATGGGCCAAAATAATTTAATGGCTATAAGTGACAATTATACACTTTCTGGTTACATTTTCTGCTGRTAAGGGCTGTTCTGCACTCCCTCCCCATGGCCTTCTGTGGGGCCCATCACCCAGATTTCACCACCTCCATCTTGCTACCCTCTCTGAAGGTAAAAGCAGCCACCCACATGTTGTGTCACCCCTGCAGACTGCACACATCCCACCAGCACCCCAACCTCCGCACACAAGGGCTGACCCCAAAATAAGCWGCAACTAAGTCAGGACAAGATGCACATAGGGATGCTAGAGCAGGCCAATCCACATAGGGATGGGAATGGAGCTGGGGCACCCCAGCAGCTGAAGCTGGGAGGGGGATGATTTGGAGAACAACTCAGTGAGAGAAGAAACCAGCTCACAGGCCCTGTCACTCCCTCACAGCAAAAGCCATAAGAGCATTACCCAGAGCAGCAATTACAGGTCACCTTTGAGAGCACTAATACAAAGGGCTTAGGCAGCATCGGGAGAAGGGTTCACCTGCGCGTCACGGACACGGAGCCGGCGGCCGGGGCGCTCGCCAGGCGGCACAGCCCGATCCCTGCCCGGRCACCCATGGCCGTGGGCCCCGCTAAGCGCTTTATTTATAGCCGCGAAGCCGCCGCCCGCCAACGGCCGCCAACGGCCGCCCCGTGACGTCACCCCGCCGGGCGGTTGGCGCCGCGCCTCGCCGTGCTGACGTCAGCAGGGCGGGGCGCGCGGAGGAGGAGCAGAGGAGGAGGGAGGCGGGAAGATGGCGGCCGGGCGCGCGCCCT